AAAATATGTACGTCCTGTGAGCTATAAAGTAAGTGATTAAGGCACATTGGGATACTGCAGGGAAGCAAAGTTATGCTTTTTATAACACACACGGCTCATTTCAGAATTTAGAAAGTAGTCAGTGGGACTTCTGGAAATTTGAACTGTGTTACTGGTTTATTAGTGATGAACATATCCAAAAAATGGTGATAAATAAGAACTAGATGCTGCAACTGACATGGGTCATCTAAATAGAAATCAATTTCTTTACAGTCTGTGATTTTCTTCCAGAATATGCTGTTACGGTAGAAGAGTGAGTATTATCAGTCTTGCAGTACTTTGAGTGTTACAAAACCACTTGATCTTTTGATTACTCCATGAAGGAAAAATGGATTAAGCTGCAGAACTTTGGAGGACAATTATTTAGATTAGTCCAAACTGAGAAATAGCACCTGGAATGGTATGAAAGTTGAATAAGCCATAGATAGAATTGTAGAGGTAAATTTTGGCAACTATAAAAGCAAAATAAATCACATTGGAAGAAGTAGCTTAAAGTACTGCTGAAATGTAAATGACCTATAAAAACTCTAGAGGTATCTTCTAACCTAAACAATTCTATGATTCTGTGATCAAATGTCAAAGTTGGACCTACACAGAAATTGGACCTGATTGACATGATGATACCGTGATTTGAACTACAAACATGAGAAACAGATACAAGGATTAGTATAGACTATTACCTTTTATGGCTTATCTTTTATTTAACAAAATACATCTGGGAAGTGGAAGAATTGAAATATTTTAAAATGTGTTCATTTGAACAGCTACAATTCATATTAATCAAGAATGTGACTTAATGTTTTTGTAATGTATATGCTTGCCTATCAATCTGACTGAGTTTTGGTTATCTATTGTATCATTGGTTTTGATTGCAGCTTACTTCTGAGTAAACTAAACCAATATCCTGCTATACAAAATACCATGAAAATTTTTTAAACTATGCGTGTTGAAAATTGGGCAAGGTTGTTACCTATTAGGAATCTTTGAATGAACACCAAAAAAAACCCCGAAGGATTGGTAGGATAAGAAAGCTGTCACTTGCCTATATGGCTGTTGCAGGGTTGTTTACTCCTTCAGGTTACTAAAGAGTTATTCTTCACTGGTTTTGTCCAGGACAAAACCAAGTAGTTGCTGTAAGTTTTCCTTTTACTGCATCTGCTATCTCACACTTTTTTTAAAGTGAGTGAAGACTAATAGGAAGATTTTTCTTCATTGTTCAGAGTGATAATAAAGGTAATAAAAACTAGAAAGTTGTCAAAGTTTCCTAGAATTGTTCACACATCTGTGTGCTTGATTGCACAGATGTTCTAATCAGTGATGTCAAATGGCTGTGCTTTAGCAGAAGTTTGTATGTTTGTATTAAGTAGATTTATGCACCTTGCCTACTTCTAATTTTGCGTAAACCATTAACAAAATAGAACATTGTTGAAAATAGCGATGACCATATTGATCATTTGAATTTTTAATTTTATTTTAAAAACAACTATGTGCATTATATTGCACTCAAAGAGTCGCAGTCAACAGCTCAATGTCTGTGTGGAGACCAGTGACAAGTGGTGTTCCTCAAGAGTTGGTATTGGGACTGGTATTATTTGACATCTTTGTTGACGATATGGGCAGTGGGATTGAGTGCACCCTCAGCAAGTTTGCCGATGACACCAAGCTGTGTGGTGTGGCTGACACACTGGAGGGAAGGGAGGCCATCCAGAGGGACCTGGACAGGCCTGAGAGGTGGGCCAATGCCAACCTCATGGAGTTCAACAAGGCCAAGTGCAAGGTCCTGCACCTGGGTAGGGGCAATCCCAAGCACAGATACAGGCTGGGCGATGAGTGGATCAAGAGCAGGCCTGCGGAGAAGGACTTGGGGGTGCTGGTGGATGGAAAACTGAATGTGAGCCAGCAGTATGCCCTCACAATCCAGAAAGCCAATTGCATCCTGGGCTGCGTCAAAAGAAGCGTGGCCAGCCGACCAAGGGAGGTGATTCTCTTCCTCTGCTTTGCTCTCCTGAGACCCCACCCGCAGTACTGTGTCCAGCTCTGGGGCCCCCAGCACAAGGAATACATGGAGCTGCTCGAGTGGGTCCGGAGGAGGGCCATGAAGATAATTAGAGGCAGGAGCACCTCCCCTGTGAGGACAGGCTGAGAGAGTAGGGCTGGTTCCTCCTGGAGATGAGAAGGCTCCAGGGAGACCTTCTAGTGGCCTGCCAGTGCTTAAAGGGAGCCTACAGGAAAGGTGGAATGGGACTCTTGATCAGGGAGTGTAGTAATAGAATGAGGGGTAATGGTTTCAAACTGAAAGAGGGGAGATTTAGATTCGATATTAGGAAGTAGTTCTTCACTGTGAGGGTGGTGAGACCCTGGAACAGGTTGCCCAGAGAAGCTGTGGCTGCCCCCTCCCTGGCAATGTTCAAGGCCAGGCTGGATGCGGCTTAGAGGCAACTGGTCTGGTGGGAGGTGTCCCTGCCCATGGCAGGGGGGTTGGACGAGATGATCTTTAAGGTCCTTTCCAACCCAAACCATTCTGTGATTCTATGATTCTCTCAACACTACACAGTGTGTTTCAGAATTATTTTGTTAACGGTTAGTAACTGGCAAAAGTCCTGAAGCATGAGGGGCTTCTATAACCATTTCAAAATTTCTAATTGTAATAATAACAACACATTCTTTGTTTTATATTTGTGAATATTTCATTTTATGACTTTCCATTTGTTACACATACTTTCAGTAATAGTTCCCTTATTGGGTCTCATATTGTGTGGTTTTACAGAGTAAGGAACTCTTCATCTCCTCTGTGAAATAACCATATGATATTTTCAGTTCCTTCTCAAAAAGTAGTTTTCTGTGTCTCAAAGTGCACTCATTAACACTCGACCTAGGGTATTGTGTTTTTTTCCACAACCAAATTGTTTGTTTTGCCTTAATGAAATACATTTGGTTTGTTTCTGATTTTGATTTGCAGCAAGACTTGCAACTTCAGTAATATTCAAACAACATACCACATATAGGTGAAAACTGAAATCCAGTGGGGTTTTCCCCATGATCTTCTTTGGTATTCTTGTGATTTTGGTACATTTTAATCTAGTTTGCTCTATGCTGAGAGCTTTCCTAGTTATTGCTGGCCACTCTTGTTTTCTTCAAAACCTTAAGACAGCTTGTGGAAATATTTTAGAAGTGCACTCTTATCCTTTGAGTAGTCTGGAACAATGTATTGGGTGTCTTTCAGGGTCAGAATGCCAAATAGTGAGTCAGATTGCTCAATCAGCTTTATCAATAGCAAGACTTCCCAAATGGCTTTCTTTACACAATAACATATTTTTTCAGTGATAGGATGAAGTTTAAAAACTTGTCAGTGATATCATAGTTAGTAAAAATTCACATTTTATATGCACCTTAGCATTGAATTTCCTTGTGTAGCTTAAGATTGGAGTCTTTTCTTTCTTCTCTTGGCTAAGATTGCTGTTGCTTCTTTTGCCACTCTATTCCTTCCCCCCGACTTTGAGGTGGTAAAGGGGTAAAAAGGATGGAGCATTCTTTCATACTATTCCCAAGCTAAATGTTTCTTGCCTAGACATCTGACCACATCTGCACCAGATCTAGCACTCTCTGGCTTCAGGCTGCATTTCTTTATTGCAGATTTCTGAAGAGCGACTGATAAAATATTATCCATCTTATTATAAGAAAACTTAAATGCTGCATATTTTTACTAAATTGATAAACTTTGCTAAATCTTATACTGTAAGTGTTGTATAATGGATGGTAAAAATACGAATTGTCTTCTTGAATTAAAAGTATCATCCATACCTGCAGTACATATTCTATAGGAAATTCTTCTAAACGATCTCTTTACAGTGATGTTATACAGTGCAGTGATGAAATATTAACATATAGATACATCTATGAAGACAGATTTTCCAAGTCTATTAAAAATTAATTGAAAATATACCTCATCATAACAAACTTTCCCTGTTTCAATAACCATATCTCAGAGTTACTGCTGAATTTTTACTAGTTTTCCTAGGCTCACTGGTGTTAATGGAGCATTCTGGCAATGTATGAGTTAATCATGCAGTTGTCATATTTCTAGCACTTCGTCACAAATATACTGAAACGATTTTTAGTGCATGCAAAAATATTCTAACCTTAGGGATTTTTAATGGTTCTTAAAATAAGACTCGTTATCCTTGCACTGAATTGATTTTTTTCAGCCATTGTGTTTACTTGGCCATCAGCAGTTATATGAGTTTGATTTGCTTATATTTAAAAGAATTTTTTTTCCTGGCTGGTGAACTCTAAACAGAGAACTAACCATCTTTGCCAATGAACACACTGCAGACAATTAACATGTTATTTTGGAGGAAATAGGCACACTAGAAATCTTCCTTGAAATGTTTAATGTTTCAAAAATGTAATGCTTTGTATTACAGTGTCAAGTATAATAATTTATTTCAGTATACGAAAATAGCTTTGTATTATCAATAAAATGTAGTCAAAAGAACAGCAGGGCTGTATAGTTGTTTTTTTAAGAATTTCTTGTGCCTTAAAATATTTCTTTGTTTATTTCTTAAACAAATAACTGGATTTTAAGCATTTTGGGTAAGAAATCTGTCCAAGTAAGCCTTTGCACAAAGGTGTAGGTGTATATAAAAAGGTATGATTATATAAACAGGAACACTTGTTATATTTTATTAACTACCAGCTGCTAAGAATTCAAGGACCTTCAACTTTGTTCTGCTGGAGTGGATTGTTAGATACAGTTTGTACATAGGCCTAGTCTAAAACTGTGATTTTTATTAAATTTTTTTTAATGCTATTTTGCATTAAGTATAACCAGCAAGGGTTAGGTAGTCTTTCTGAAGTTGAAGACACAGTTTAGCTGATGTGTTTGAAATGTTATTTGCCAATGGTAAAGCTTATTAATAAAGTAAACTACTTGGCTCATCCTAGTATGTATTTTAAAACAGGAGAGGCTAATGATAAGGATGTTCAGGTGGTGGAACTTCCCATTGTTGACAGCTTACACCCACGGCCACCATATTTACCCTTGGCTGTCCCTGAAGACCTGGCTGATAGGCTAATTCGTGTCCATGGGGATCCTGCAGTGTGGTGGGTCTCGCAGTTTGTGAAATACTTGATTCGTCCACAGCCTTGGCTAGAGAAAGAAATAGAGGAAGCCACAAGGAAACTTGGTTTCAAACATCCGGTGATCGGGTGGGTATTTAGTTTTCTTTTTTAACTGTCTGTGCTTTAATATGCGGATATAGTGATTCTTGTTCATGACATTGTTTTATGACGGTTATACAGGAGTCTCAAGCATTTTGTGGGGGAGAGGGTGTTGTCTACATGAAGCTATTAAGTTTTAACTGTGCATAATACAAGTTGATTACAAGTACTTCAGCATACTTGCCTACCTATAGTTGGACAGATACATAAAAGGCAGCTCAATAGAAGGTTTTTTTTAAATATGTCCTTCCATATCTAGTAACATAATACAGAATTTCATTCATGTAATTGCCTTAGAGCTTGTATTCCAGACACTTTTCTGTCTGGGTCTTCTTTTCAAGTGCCATTAGCCTTTACATTTGAGGAAAAAAGGCTAAGCCTATGTTTTACATGCCACAATCCACAACTATTTTTATTGTTGGCTGCACCTGAACATGTTAAGTGCCTTGCCCTTTCCTGCTGCTGTTTTCACTATTGTTGTTTCTTAGCAGTAGCTATGAATTGGAAAGGTCTGTATGGGGAGATATGCGGAGAAGGAAGGAAAGCGCCTGTAGGCAATAAAGAGCAGCTTGTGAAGAAAGATTTTACTGTTGTGTAACGTGAAAAATTTTGCTGCTGCTGTACTAGAGTCTGCAAATATTGCTTCGTTTGTCAGAATTTTCTTTTAATCCTTAATCTTTGTTTTTGTAGGAGTTCACAGTAGGTCTGTCCAAAAGTTAGTTGGCTTTTGATCATTGAGTTGTAGGCCACCACTGGCGGATCTGAAGACTTGTTAGGTTTCATGCAGATGGGGAAGATGCATTTTGAACTATCTTCTTTCAAACCATGCATTGTAGCTGGTTTCCCAATATATCCATAATGCGAATGTTCCTATTTTGGTTCTGAACTGTATTAATCAAGCATTATCTTAACTACACTGGATAACTTAACCTTCTGTACAAAAGGAATACTTTGTATTCTATGATTAAATCTCCTTCATTCTTTTCTTTCAGTTACCCTTTGCCTTCCTTGCAAGGTTATTATGTTGCTTTCAAGAACAGAAAGTGTGTCTTGATGGACATCAATGAGTTTTAATCCTTCCTTGGTTTATGTAGGGATTCGATTTAATATATTTTCTAGAAGCACAGGCATGAAAAGTAAATTTCAGTTGCTTAAAGTATGTGTTGTGTTTATAGATTAAATTCCTAGTTCCTGCCTTTTTCCAGTGTTCACGTCCGAAGGACAGACAAAGTAGGAACAGAGGCAGCATTTCATCCTATTGAAGAATATATGGTACATGTTGAAGAGCAGTTTGAACTTCTTGCTCGCAGAATGCATGTTGATAAAAAAAGAGTGTATTTGGCTACAGATGACCCTTCATTGTTGCAAGAGGCAAAATCCAAGTAAGAGGAATTATGTTTATCTTACCGTTTGTTCCTTCTGGTTAGCTTTACATTTTCTGACTATTGTGCGCGTAAATCTTAGTATCTTTTTTTTTGTGTGTTATAATTTATGTAGTTAAGATTGCATTTCACCTTCCAATGTTTTTGATTTTTCTTCAGACATTCTTTTTCTTTGGATGATTTTTTCCCAAGTATGCTTTTCAAAGCTTAGTTAAAAATCTAGAAGAGTGGAGCAGATACTTGTGTCTATTTAAAAACAAACCAATGCTGTAAAAGGGAAGTAAAAATATAAATAATAAATACACCAAACTTCTTACAGAACATATATATTAAAAAGAAATTATTCAGAAATATTGTAAAAACTAGTTAATGTATTAAGAAGCTTCACCTGTCCAAACAATAACTTTCTGTGAATAGTTGCCAGAAGAATTTTTATAAGTTGGTTGAAAAGCTTCTGATGACTGTTTCAGAGAGATTTCTGTATTGAGAACTTAGAAAACTTTCACCCTACATGTTGAATAATTTTAAAGTTTGTCCTTAAATATATGTGCGTTTCTTGATCTGTAATGTTGGCTCTGTCCCTTGTTTTGGTCTTTGTCTTCTTCTAGCTGTCCAGAACGTGGATGTAACAACCTAACTCTAGCTATAGGATATCCCAGCCTGTCATAGAAAATGTAACTGTGTTCACACCTGGAAGTGCACAGTATGCATTCATTTACTCCTAACATGGCTTGTATTTTCCTGTAAAACCTCATTGTTAATTTGCATGATTTGCCAGGTGTCACTGAGATGGTAAAACCTGTTTAGTAAAAGAAAGCAGATACACATGGGAGACTAATGTTCCGTATTCAACTGTATCTTTCTTGGGTTATGGTGTTTATGGTGTATAAACAATTTCACAAGTGCTTATTGCCATGACTCTGGAAACTTGGCTAAGTATTTCAGATGCATTGAATTTAAGCATAATTGTTACCATATACAAGTTAGTATGTTTTCCTTTTGAGTACTGGTTGTTTATCTGTCTACTGAATAGCACCTACCTCTGTTTCCAAAATTTTATCTCTCTTGAGCAGAAGAATATGTATTTTTACATGTAAGCAAGGAAATTAATACTTTTAAAAATCAAGGTAACTCAAAAGTGCCAAATTTGTGAACTTTTTTATTCTTGGAAGATATTCTTGGAAAAATATGTGAGATATCATACTGGATTACACATTTTCTTTGGCATATACAAGGTAAGCAGAAAATGTTAGTTTGTAGTAGAGGAATTTTCTACAGCATTGCAAACCTGTGTATTTCAATTGTGCTATTTCTATTTTTCTTTCCTATCTATAAAGGGCTGCTGATTAAAATTATGGAGTTTGAAAAAACTAAACGAACATACACAACTCCAGATGATGGCAATCTAAGCCTTCCCTTTTTTGTATATGTAGAAACAAGAACAGTAGCAGGAACAGTTATGGTAACATAGCATTTAAAGTACAAATCTGAACAATGAAAAGACAGGTAATACAAAATTGAGGTTATAGTATTTAATTCATTATATTGTTCTAAATAACTTTAATTACTGTTCATAACATAACAGGATTCAATATTGCTGGAACAATCTTAGATATGCATTTTTTTCTTTATTTGCATTCAACTTTCAGTCCTTAGCACTGTATACTTTAGCTTTGTGAATAATAATGAGGTGCACTGCCTATGTAAACATACTGTCCCAAGTTTTCAATAGCAACAAAAACTAGTAATAGAATTGTGACTTGTTTGGTAAAACAATACTGAATTTTATTAAGCATTGCAGGTTCTGTGGCACTTCAAGGTCCATTCCAAATCACATTTTTACTGAAATATGATAAGAGACAGCTCATTAGTACAGCATTCATTTTGTATGTTTTCTTACTAAAAGGCATAGAATCTATTAAGTAGTGAAGAATTTTTATGTGTTGCTGCTGAGTTTTCAGGTCATAGTTTACACTGACACATAATTTCCAAAGTTGCTTGCACCCTATTGTTGCTTGCACCCTATTGTTGCTCGCAATTGAGTAGAAGGTATGTGACGCTTCCTGTGATTTCATAGAAGGCAGAATGCAGTTTGATGTTTCAGCATTTAAGGGCACCTGAAGGCAAGTTAAGGGCAGGTTTTGGGAATAAAGAACCTTTTCTTCCTTTCCTTGTGAAGAAAACTACAAATCAGTTTAGACTTCTGACAAGGAAGTTCTATTCACATTGAACTACCAAGCTTTGCTAGAAACAGGTGTCACGTTGTGCTGCAGTAGCTTATGTTGCATTCGTTACTGGGTGCGGTAATATTACTAAGTATTAGGTATTATAGCTCTCTTTACATGAGGGTGCTTGGCTGTCAAACAACATTGGCATTTAAATAATAAAAATCTAGCCAATATTCACATGAATAGGCACATTGTTTCTATTAAAAGAAGTATTTCAAACTGTTCATAGTCATGAAAACAAATATTTTGACTTAAGTTTCAGAAACTTCCTTTGCAGTCAGATGCCTACCGACTGCAAGTACAGTAGTAAAGATATTGGAGTCCAGTGCTATCAGTTTGTAGAGTGTTTTTGTTTTCCAAAAGACATAAAGTGATATATTTTCAGAATTAGGATGATATAGAACAACATGATTAGAGAGGAGCATGGTTGAGACTTCAAAAGCTGTAGTGATTATGGGATTAAAGCACTTGACAACTTCTGGTAAGCAGAGGTCATGGTATTTGTCTTGAATAAGTGATATGTTAGGGATGGTGTAAATTGCTTGTTCTTTGGCTGATTTAATAGTTTTCAAATATGAACTTTTGAATTTCTAGTATACGTATTTCTACTCTGTAATATTATTTACAGCATCTTTTCTCTTAAGGTAGAGTATTCAAAATAATGCAGCTGAATATGCACATAATTCTTTAGAAACCATATTTAATAAATTTCTGGTTTATATGTGAATCTATTTAGGTCTCTTTCTCATGTATATGAGCACTAAATTCAACAAATTAAATTCTTCCTTTCAGGATTTTTACCTCTAAAGTCATCTGTATTTTGCTTTTTCATTTTTTTGCAGTAATTTGGCTCCCTCATGAGTGTTTTTTTCAGCACTTATGAAAGTTTTTTTCCCACCCTATTTCACTGTTTGTTTACTTCTACAATAGCAAGTTAATGTCTTTTTTCCCCGTGTACTGCCTGCGGTTTAGCTGTTGCAGTCCTCTCCATCCCCAAGTCATGATATATAGAGTTCAGTAGTGCTTCGAAGTTCCTGAGTCTGATGAACAGCTCATACATTTTCCAATTCTTTTTAGAGCAAGACCTGAACAAACAGATTATTTCATACTCCTTCTGTTTACACACATGCTCACACTCTTCTTTCAGAGGGAAGAAAACTCGCATTGCCTGTTCTGGACACTTCCCCTGTTCTAGTGAATTGAGAGCAGGAGCCTGGGACTCACCTTGGTTTGCACCTGCCGCACAGGGTAGTGATAAGCTATGGTTACACAGCTAGTTGATCAGCTTCTGAAACCAGCTTGAAATAGTCTCATAACTGTGCTTGGTTTGTATCCTTATCTGAGGCTAGTAGCTGCAGGAAGGAACAATTTTAAACTATCTCTTCCCCACCTTCCTCTGACTCCTTCTTTTCCCCTTTTCCTACGGGGGGAAGAATCTTTCCCGACTTCTATATAGGTTTCAAGAATCTATTAGGTAGCTTTAGAAGAATTAGATAATATTTTTAGATGTGTGGAGGAGATATACTAGATATATGTAGTCTGATACAAAGAAAAGAGTATCATGCCAGTTTCCATTCCTTGGTTTTATCTTCACAGTCTGGTCCTTTCCTGTAACAGAGAAGAGAATGTGTGGGTAATTTCTTTGGAATGCTAGGAGGGATCCTACAAAATACTGTGTTTAGGTGATTCTGTCAGTAAGAGTATGACATCTTATTATTTATTACTCATTTACCACACATTCAGGAATCCTAGTAATAGGATCGTGCCTGAGTTCTGCTTAAAAAGAAAAAAAAATTCCCCAAAAGCTTACAATGCAAGTATTACATTAATCATAATATAAATACAGAGGGAAAAGGGAATAGAAGGAAACAAGAGCTAACTATAGAGCTTTAGAAGTTTAATTTCCTTTATTCTTTGTAGTTGAGATGAGAATAGCTTTAAATAGAATTTAAAGCACTATAGTGAGTGGGAAGGAGAATTAAACCTCACCTGATGCAGGAAGTCAGTGGACCACATATGGCTAAGCTCGAGAGGAGTCTAGGCTTGGCCTTTTACTATACTTTATGCTCTGCTTTCAGCCTGCGCTGGAGACAGGATGGTCAACTAGATGATTCTTTGCTTATGCTGAGTATGGCTGCTATTATACTCACATTTTAGGGTATTTAAAAGAAACATCCTTTTCCAAGCATTGTTGGGGGAACACAGCATAAAAGTGCTTTTTTTAAAACTTAACCATCTGAGTAGATAAATACTTAGCTTGAATCACTGGTTTGAGGAAACGAGTTCTGAAACTGTTGGTTAGGTGAACTTAGATCAGCTTTACAAAGTGTAACTGAAGACCAGATTTGAAAGCATCTCAAGAACTGTTTCCAGAATAAAGGGAGGAAGGAGAAAATTTTAAATGCATGTGTAAGAAGATGTGTAAATAATTCTGGTTTGGTTTGTTTTTTTAACCAGATCCAATATGACACATTTTTGGTGTGCTTCATTTGTTATTAAACTGATCTTTTGCTAGTAAGAAATCAGATTCTTCAAGAAAGATTCTTTAGTCTCTACTCAACCTGTAGGTTCTGATCTTTGAAGTCTGAAGGAAGTAATTAATTTTAGCAGTATTGCTGATGCGAAGAACTTGCAAAGGGGTGTGCAAATATCTTTACTATATTCACTGTCCCTAGAAATGACATCTTTATGTTGCTCCCCTCTGAGTTGTGTCACTGAAATAAGACTGATGCTCATCTCTATTCCTCAGGTAGTTTTCACAGTGACATATTTCCATTTGGTCTGTGCTTTTTATTTGTTTAAAAAAATACTAATATGATTCACACAATGGAAACATAAATAGAATGTATCGTACATATTGTGTTGTCATCTGTGGAATTTTGAGAGCTGGTTAAATATTGACGAAAAATGTTAGACATGAGAAGATGAGAAAGAAGATTATCATTGTGGTAGAGTTCATGTTGAAGAGACTATAGCTTGATCCATATACTTCTGTAATTTCTCAGAAGAGATCATATCAGATATGCCAAATGAATAATGTTCCCATCTTCTCTCCCTTCTTTTTTTTTTTTTCCATTCCCTTGGTTGGTTTGTTTTGTTTTGTCTTGTTTTTAATGTAACGTGAACTTCCCCTGACATTCCTGATCAGATACACCCTTTAAAGTTGTCATGCTGTCTCTGGGAAATTCACCGTACATATATTATTTTTTGTTAGAGCAAGTGTTCCTCTTGGGAACATAAAATTCTATGGAAATCACTATGAAGATAAATTAAAATTCTTCCTCAAATGTGGAAGTTTTGTATATGGCTTTTTGATTCGCTGTTGAGATAAACTTCCTGATTTAGTAGTCATGGCTAGTGAATGTTAGATGGAGAAGCCTGCTCTATTTGCATATTTCACTTTTGAAAACAGTTTTTCATAGTTTTAACATTTAAATGGAATAAATTAGGCATGTTCTTACAAGAGGTTGTCATAATCCTCTCTACCATGTGGCCAGAGTGTATGCACTTGCTGCTTTCTTGTACGCGAATGCATGCTGACTCCATCACTTCCCAAGACTGCCTGAGTGTAAACCTGACTGTGAGCACTGGTCAGCACAGGCCTGGCAGGCTTTGAAGCAGCAAGTTCTAGGTCTAAGTGGTTGTTGCTGGAGCGTTATGGCCTGCTCTGTATTCTCATTAAACAGTGTAAGAATGATTAATTCTTACAAATGTAATATTAGCTGCCTTACTATCTTATGTACTATGTTGCTTTATAATTGCTGTGAAATTGTAAATTTGAAAAATAGATTTTATGTAAATTATTTCATAATGAGCCCTGTAGTTGCAATTTTGTAGTTGGCAGGTTAGTCACATGAGTTGCACTTCATGACTGAAGTATAATTATTGTGTAACAGCAGTGTAATTATCAGCTTAGTTACAACTACATGGAATTTTTCATATAAAACTTCTTTTTGTAGGAGGCTGACTGAAAATTTAATTAATTTATGCTACTTTTCACAGTTTTCTTCAGATTTCAGTTCCCCAGTAAAGAGGTACAAATGTTTTGAGAAAGAGTATTATTTTTCAACATTTTTAAAAATAATTTTTTTATTTCAAAATCATTGTTACATGTTAAAAACTTTTAATCTTATTTTTAAAATAATATAAACTAAGTTTTTATAGTTCAAATAAAAATATGCTGACTTAAATTACTACTATTTTATGATATTTCAAGAAAAGTGTATTGACATGAAATTTTACATTTCTTTTATTTCCTTTTGACCAGTAAATTTCAAAATTTGTTCTCCACACAGCCTTAATAACTATGAAAGACTTTTTTTTGTTAGTTTAGATTTATTTATTTAATACCTGCCTTTTACAGGTGACTGACTTTGTTGCACAGTGTTATAATCAGTACCTAATAGAGAGTATGGTAATAAACAAAATGTAGTGTGTAGTAAAGACAAGATCACATACTCTATTTAGGAGTAGAGAAAGTGAAGTGATCTGAGTATATTTCATCTAAAATCAGTAAAATCAGTAGAAGTAGCAGAATGTGGCACATGCTTCCTGATATTTTTTCACTTCTTTTACAATGTCAGATCTCAGACAGACTTACAGCATCTTTTACTTAATTTCCTTTTTTTCTGGATAAAGAGAGGGCATGCTTGGAGGCAGCAGTGATGTTCTAGAGTGTCCAACAAAATTGTAATTCATTCTGTGTAAAGCACAGACTCACTTAAAACAAATTAACAACCTTACCTTGCAGCAAAGATGATGCTCCTTAAAAAAAAAAAAAAAAAAATTAAAAAAATAGAATAGGACTTTCCTGTTAACAGTGTATTATTGTATTTTCACAGGTATCCAAATTACGAATTTATCAGTGATAACTCCATATCCTGGTCAGCAGGACTTCACAACCGATACACTGAAAACTCCCTAAGAGGTGTTATTCTGGATATTCACTTTTTGTCTCAGGCAGACTTCCTGGTCTGTACATTTTCATCCCAGGTAAACTGCAATACAAATACAGTATAGACTATACGTACCAGTTCTAAGTCTTAGTTTTCTTCATGCTCCTGTTATCATCAGTGCACTCTGATGAAAATTTCAGGGAAGAATTAAAGGCTCAGTATGCTATGTGTACATTTATTGAACTGTAAGCACTGGTTGATTACTTCCCTTTTGAAGCGGCTGGCTTAATTAAGACATTTGAAATAAGCAAGAAAGCATGTTTAAAAGTTCCTTGTTTTGCGTAAAGTTAATGTATAACTTGTATCCATTCATTTCTATGCAGCTTAGTTAAGGCATTTGAAATAATTTTAAATATGTTTAACACCTCTTAATTTTGCATAAAGTTAATATATAACTTGTGTCCATCCATTTCTACGTATCGTTGCACTCTACTATGGTTCGAACATGTCTGCTGTTGCCTTAGGTGATTGTGGGAATGGAAGAGAATGAAGAAAGCAGACATTTAATTACTCTTCAGTCTATTACATTGCTAGCAATCCAGCGGCAGCGCAATACATGTGAATTCTGACCACTATAGTATGTAGAGACTTCTTTTGCAGATAATTATATGCTACAAGCTTCCTTTCTTGAATCATCTGGTGAAGCAAGTTAAAGTCCATTAGAAAACAGAATTGTATAATTGTCATTGTTGGCATTTTCTTCTTTATTATGTCATATTGTATATTAATTTAATATATAATTGGAAAAAGCTGTTTCAAAAAACTGCTTTAAGATTAAAAAAATATCAGAAAGCAGTATTTTGTGACTGATACACTGACCCACCTAATTCAAGTATGGCAAAACGTGGTTGAAATTACACGGAGTGAATGTTTTTTAACTACTATTGTTATCTATGCTCTTAGGTGACACTCCTGGTTCATTCAACTATGGATGGCCATGGATTATGATCACACATGATTGTGCTGTTACGTGGAAGTGGACACAAAACTGAAAATTAGAATTCACTTCAAAAATAAATGTTTTCCACAGCCTCAAATGTAAATTGTCTTCTGCACTGTAATGACAATTAGATAGTTAACAAGCATAATATAAATACTAATATATGATCAATACAGTGATATCTTGACCTTGACAGTCAGAATTGGTGCCTTAGGCTTAGCGACAATGAAATGATAGAATTTTCAATTTTTGGCAAAGGAAGGAGGAAGGGCAGCAAAACCACTCCCATGGACTTCCGAAGGGCAGGCTTTGACCTGTTCAGGTCACTGGTTGAGAAAGTCCCTTCGGAGTCTGTCCTAAAGGGCAAAGGGGTCCAGGAAAGCTGGACATTTTTCAAGAAGGAAGTCTTAAAAGCACAGGAGCAGGCCGTCCCCATGTGCCGTAAGATGAACTGGTGGGGGAAATGACCAGCCTGGCTGAACAGGGAGCTTTTGCTGGGACTTAGGAGAAAGAGGAGAGTCTACCTCCTTTGGAAGAAGGGTCAGGCTACTTAAGAAGAGTACAGGGATTTAGTTAGGTCATGTAGAATGAACATTAGGAAGGCAAAAGCCCAGTTAGAACTCAGTCTGGCCACTGTTGCAAGAGATAATAAGTGTTTTTACAAATACATTAACAATAAAAAAATAGCCAGGGAGAATCTCCATCCTTTATTGGATGTGAGGGGGAACATTGTCACTGAGGATGAGGAAAAGGTTGAGGTGCTGAATGCCTTCTTTGCCTCAGTCTTTAGTAGTCAAACTAGTTACCCTCAAGGTAATCAGCCCCCTGCGCTGGAGGACAAGGATAGAGACTAGAAGGATAATCCAGGAAGTAGTAGTTAATGACCTGCTGTGCCAATTGGACACTCACAAGTTTGTGGTGCCAGATGAAATCCACCTGAGAGTGCTGAGGGAGCTGGTGGAGGAACTTGCCAAGCCACTCTCCACCATTTATCAGCAATCCTGGTTAACGGGAGAGGTCATGGAAGACTGGAGTCTTGGCAATGTGACACCCATCTACAAGAAGGGCTGGAAGGAGGATCCGGGGAACTACAGGCCTGTCAGCCTGACCTCGGTACTGGGCAAGGTTATGGAGCAGTTCATCTTGGGTGCACTCACATGGCAAGTGCAGGACATCCAGGGAATCAGGCCCAGCCAGCATGGGTTCATGAAAGGCAGGTCCTGTTTGACCAGCCTGATCTCCTTCTGTGATCAAATGACCCACCTAGTGGATGAGTTAATAGCTGTGCATGTTGTCTACCTGGACTTCAGTAAGGCATT